GTTTTCTAGAAAATCGGATTTTTTTCAGAAATCTCTATTTCAGGACTCCGAGGCGTAGCATAACTTTTCCCCATCGAAATATATAGAACTCGACGCGCTCTTTCATTTGATACCAACTTCGAGGTTCTACGTTAGAGAATGTGGTCAGCAGACGTTCTGCAAGTTAGACCAAATCCGCCGGAAAATGACGAAAATGCATTTTTCTGCTGCGCGGGTAAAATGCCTATAGTCCTGTTTCTAACAAAGCTAGAGACTTGCGGTCTTCACCATTCGGTTCAACTTGCTGAGCTCTATAATATGAGATAGGTCTCGTCACTGACGTCAAAGTTCGATGTAAATGGTGGTCGTTTTTATATGGATTTAGCCTATCCGTCGATGCAGAAAATATCACTCTCCAGTAGTATTTCTAGTGTTAGGACACGCAGGCCCCATGTGTTCTCAATATTATATATATCATTTTGTAGCCCGTGAAATTCTCTATCGAATGATATACAGTAGTTGAGGTTTGTTTTGGGCAAAGAGAAGAAATGGGGAAAATACTCTAAATAAAGTTCATTTAAGGGGAGAAAAGTTTGGAGCGGAAGTTTTTCCAGGGAGGGTGAAAATGATTTTTTTGAGGTGCTAGTTTTAATCACGGAGAAAAACTACATCAGACTTGTGAATGTGAGCTTGATCTGAGAGGGGGTCGATTTTCCCTCTTCTCGATCCCCGTCCTTTATCGAAAATATTAAGTTAATTAAAGAATTGAAAACATCAATTGATACGCTTTATTTTTTTATTTAAGATTTAGTTAAATTAGGCAATATATTAGAATTGAAATTACTTAGGGCTGACCAAAAGTTCGTAGAACGATGTTTAAATTTTTATAAAATACTTAACATCGAAAGATTTATTGCATGAATACTTAGTAAAATGTCTCGTCTATAATTCTAACAGTCTTTTAGATAGAGCGTATAATGGAATAAACATGTGAACATTCCTTCCCCAGGATTCGAGTATATTTCTGAATTTCGCATTCTTTCTTTCCTCCCTCATATGATATTTTCTGACGTCATATGCACTTAAATATTACATGTAACAGTATATATTGAGTGCAAAGTCATTTATTGAGTTAGTTCATTCGATTCGCTCACTTTTTTCGTGTGAATAAGTCAGCATTTCCGATCGATACTTTGTATCAAATATCAAAGTCACCCTGAACCTATGACAAAATATGATTGGAATTTTTTTTTACATCATTAAAATGACCGATGAATTTGATCGATATTATATTAAAATTCGGAGAATTCTGGAAATAGATGCAAAGACAATTTGCGAAGAACTTACAACAACATTGCGACCTGATGCTCCAGCATATTCAACTGTTGCAAAATGGGCAAAACGTTTTCGTGAAGGGAGAGAGGATGTCAATGATGACTTTCGACCTGGTCGTCCGATTTCCGTACTTACAGATGAAAATATCGAACAAGTTCGACAAGTTATCGAAGATGATCAGAATTCAACCTAGGATGATATCATAGCCGAGACTTCCCTCTCTCATGGTACAATAGAACGGATCATTCATGACTGTTTAAAGATGAGAAAAGTTACATCACGATGGGTTGCTCACAAACTCAGTGATGAACAAAAGCAACAACGACTTAGAGTTTGTCGTCAAAATCTAGCAAAATTTCAGACTGAGAAATGGAGATTATCTGATGTGATTACTGGTGATGAGACATGGATTTATCATAGACAGATTAGTCGAAAGTCAAGTAATGCTATATGGATTAGCGAAAATGAACCACGAAGGACCATTGTTCGTTGAAACAGATCTGAGCCCAAAACATTATTTTGTTTATTCTTTAAATCAAATGGTCCTGTTCTTATACACAAAGTTGATAAAGGCAAGACTATCGATCACAACTATCACATTGAAAATTGTCTCAAACCTGTTACTAATGAAACACGAAAATAAGAAAAATCATCACGCGCAAAATGCATCAAATTGCTTCACGATAATGGTCGTCCTCATATTCATCGGGATGTTATTGACTATTTAACAGAAGAAGGTATTGAAATAATACCACATCCACCATACTCACCTGATCTTGCACCCTGTGACTTTTGGCTCAATGATTACATCAAGATTAACTTGGCTGACCAAGAAAACGAAGAATCACTAGCTCGGGCGGTTTGCGAGATAGTGAACAATATTCCA